GGCTAACGGTCAAACGTCAGCTTTAGATTCCCTTGATGGTGGCCATACACTTTATAAACTAAGTTGATGAAATAAAATACTTGCAATAACCCCCACGTCACTGACGCGGCACCACAGATTCTCTAGAAACTTACCTCTTTTACTTTATTGTAGTGGGTACATGTGCTTAAAGAAAAAAAGATGGTGTGGAAGCTACATAGCACGCACTGGGTTCCTCTTTTGACTCTGCGGGTTTTTAATCTAGTAAAACCCTGGTTTGTGGCCATTCAAATAAATCCATCATGGCGTTCATCATTTGAATGCGACGATCAGAAGATCAAGGTTCAACCTTTTACTGTTAATGAATGAATTCTAATAGACACAGTGCATATTTTACTTACCAAACATGCAAGAAGTACCGATCCAACAAAAGCCCACATGAAACCAGAAGAAAATGCAAACCAACAGCTGCAAAATACACGAAAAATTCGATTGAACGTAAAAACACTTCGATCTTTCTTCGTCGAGTTATTTTGTTGTGATCTTAGGCACGACACAGGATCTCTCTCTTTCCAGAAGCATTAATAGTATAGACACTCCTAATCCCTACATGCTACCCAGCGAAACTAAGCTAAGCACTTGCACTATTAAGGTTCATGCAATACAGTCACGCTTACAACCTTACCAACACATGTAAATTGTGAGTAAAACAAAAGGATACATGAACACAGAAACAACTACAATAGTTACGACATCAACATGCAGAAGAGGCTTAACTACGTCAACAGATCATTTTGTACTACTCACACGTCATCACGCATACTGTTATCCGTGCTTCCATCGAGGATAACAGTTATACCAAGTGCACTAGCTACCACCAACGTTGGAACACCTTCGGAGAAAAAAAAATAGGATACAGCCTGGTGTTGTTTCAGGCTAAATATTACAGATATTTGAATCATATAATCATGAGTTCATGTTATTAGACAAAAGATAATACTCAAAAGTGTACTTCACTGTTTTGAATAACCTCATCACAACCTTGTTGCAATTTCGAGTGGAATCTTCATTTGGGGCAAATCCTGGGAATATTTACAATGACCCATGAATAGAGGTTTTCCTAACAGGAACAGGGATTATAGGATTATCCCACCAATGCCAGATAAAAAGATTATTTCAGAGTTGTATCCTTGAATTGAGGTGACCTCTGCACGGAGATGTCTAGGAAGAGAGGTTTTAATTCCAAAATACGAGAAAAGATATGAACCAGGTTGATTTTATTGTTTTTATTTGGTCATATTTAGTGTTCAAGACTGATTTCACACGACGAGAAATCGTCCAATCTAATTCTTCGAAAGAGTTCATCAGAACGAAGTCTCGTCAGTGATCGAAATAGATTCTTTTACCCCAATGGGGGGGCATAGAAGAACTTTGTACTTGTGGTAGCATTAGTGTTTGAGACGGATTTCAGAGGAGAAGAAAACGTTCAACCGAAAGAGGTCACTATAAAGAAGTCCCTTCTTTGATATAATGAGATTCTTTTTACCCCAAGCGAGGGCATAGAAGATCTTTGTACTTGTGTCAACATTGAAGACTTTGACAACTTTTAAATAGAGCATGACTCCTTCCGTAACCATCCAAGCGAAAGCAACAAGGTAGAAGTAATTTATTGTTATCGCGACAATCGCGCACAACGTCTAGAGGGAAAATAAAAAAAATTAATTTAATATAGAGCGGCAAATCAAATCAAAACAAAACGGCCTGAAGCTCGAGGAACCACGAGTGATTAAGTCGCTAGATTCCGTTTTGCATATAATTAATTGAGCGAATGGCGGGACTCTGCTAGTTGACTAACTCTGTCAGCTACACTGCACCTCATCAAGTTTGCGTATACGTTTGCATTAGGTTTCCATACCAACGTTACCTTCATTTGAGTGGCTTGGATACCAGTCATAAAAACTAACTGGGCGATAACCAAGCACATTACCAAATTCAACCGGATATGGGACTGAGAGGATTTCAGATTCCTTGGAAGTAAGTAGAATCATCTGGTGTTAGCATAATTGGACCATAAACTTAAGGTAAATTTGAGTCTTTGCAGAGTTCCACACATTGTTGATAAGTAAACTAGCTTTATACATAGAGAAGAAGCAAGGTGAAATACACGATAACGCATACAAGAAATGGAAGCTATTTGCACTTACATAAGAACTAAATAGACCAAAATGGTGATAGTCTCGCCAATCAAAGACAGTGAAAGTCCAATGTAGGTCACCAACGTTAGTGCAAATTTGTGATCGTCAGAGATCTAGATGAGAGAATGAAAATTATGTACTCCTTAACTTCGTTAAATCAGAGGTAAGCATGCTTTACAGGACTCCAAAACCTCTCAACCCTTTAACTCCCAGAGGTGTTGAACATGAAAATTGTCCTTACAATGTGCATGCATTGTCCCGCAAAAACTTAACGAGAATACTCAAACTCATCAGGTAAAAGTTGTTATTTGGATCTAACACCAAATTCTCGAAACCAATTGACGAGAAAATGTGTAGCACTTAGAGGGGGAAATAAACTATTAGATCTTGGGAATAAAGAGATAAATATGAACTGAACGAATGCACTTTGCAATTTTTTTTTTATTTGGCTATATGTGGTGGTTGTGGTTGCGGTTTTCGTTGTTGCGCCAGCAAGAGAAAACCACATCCTCTGCATTTTTGTAAGAAGCTAAGTTAAACCATATGCTGAAAAATTTGAGAAAAGAAAGTTGAAAGGCCAAACCTTTGTCTCACCCACTTCCATTAAGACAGCGAAATTCGTCAGATGATTACAACTGCAGGTAGTCCGCTCTTTGGTTTCCTGAACCAGTTTACAACCCTTTTGGGACCAAGCACCGTCAAACTTTGTGCTAAAGGATAATGATAATATCAATGATATCAATAATAACAAAAATTATAATAACGATGATAATAATAATAGTATTAGCATAAACAATAATAACATCAACAAATAGATTCCATGTTGTCGTGCATGTGCTCAGTAATAGATCATAGATGATGTCAACACGTAGTACGAACAAGAAAGTGGCACATTAGTCTTAACACTGTTAAGGGTGACGTCATCTATGCGTCTGTTCCCTAGTAGACCCCATATAAGAACCATCCAAATTATGCACATAAATTACCTTATCACATACACAAAAATAACCATGGTGGTAATGGCAATGGTAATAATATTAAAAGTAACAACGATAATAGAGTTGACGATGATGAAATACTTTACTAGATGATATTTTTTGTTTCCTCTATAGTGGCTAATGGTTAGTGGACTGATGTATCTATGTTTAATCGATTTTAATTCCTTTCTTGATGCTGGGGCCTTTTTTAGAGAGTATCATTCAATGATTGTAGTTCGTCATCTAAACTAAGCCTTCATACCTTATCGAAAAATTCCAAAATACACAGCTCGTCTGTGTGGCTGTTAAGTTATCCTGAGGAAAATTCGCATATATAAAACTTTAAGGATGCCTTATCTACTTGTATTAATACATGAAATATTAAACAATGTTGCAAGATAATTCACCTTATTGCGAGAAAATTATTCAAACATTTACCTTGGTGTTAGTAAGGTTAATTACGACGTCCTCTTCAAAGTTGCCTCGAACCTCTGGTTTTACTGTACATGATATGATCCGAGTGCGTATGGTGGACTTCTTTCTAAAGTGAGAGAAAAAGTAGTTTCTAGTCTCTTTTAATGAAACGTTTGACCCATTCATAAGAACCTTTAAATTTGACTCACTCACGCGGATTTTCGAAGGGCAAAAGGAAAAACGAAAAACGAAAAAAAAAAACTTGTTGACACACGCATACAAACCTGTTATTGACATTATTTGCTCCTTCAGGCATTAAGTCGGCGGCGTTTTTGTACAACGCACAGACAACGTATCGGTCTAAGGTAAAGAGGAATATTGCGATAGATTGCCATAAACGATACAACTGTCATCGTCTAAGTTAAAAAATGTATGACTGGAGAGTTAAAGCCAAACAGTAGGGCAAAAGGACTTCTTGTCAAGTCTCAGTGAAGTCGCTATCTATGATTTTGGTTGAGACATATCATGTAGAGGTCATGATGCGTGTGCTTAAAGAATGACTAAGGATGAGATGTAAATCGTAGAAATGTAAATGTGCAGTGTATGGAAATGTTTCGTATATGTTGGGCTTCAATTCTCAGTAAGAAAAAAGAGTATACATTTATTAAGCAAATCGAAAAATACATTTACATTACAAAAAAATGTGAATACAAGATAATTTTTTTAATACCTTGATTAAACATGCTAGCAGAAAGCGTAATGGCTCCCTTCTCTTCTTGAATGAAGCTCTCGTTAAAAGTATTAGCATGGGACGGGAATACGACACCACTTTTGTGATCAGCAGAAACTCTCATCACTGACATACCTTCAGTAAGAATGGTAAACAAAGAAAGAAATGGATAACAAAGGTAAGAGACATCAAATCATTTTCGAGCTTCGGTCGTAATCTTGGCAGATACGTGATAGCAGCCAGTCAATCATGCCCAGTAAAGAAACAAACATGAAATCAAGACCACTGGTGTCCGAAAAGATTAAAAAACAAACAAACAAACAAAAAAGGAAACAAACAGAAATAGCAACTATAATTTGTAAAATAGTAACGAAAAGAGCGATACCTAATTCTTTCTGCTCAATTGAAATTTCTCTCTCAGAACCATTTTGGGGCGTCAAGTGAAGGCTAGCATAATTCATAGCAAAGACTTCCAGTTTCTCAAAGCTAACAAGAATATTGACTTTGCTGTCTGCAGTGCTTGCCTTTCTAACAAGCGTAGAGGTGAGATTTACAGCATTCTGCAAGAAATAAAAATAGGAAAAGGCAAAGTTTACTGTAACAAGGCATTTATAATAACTACTATATTTTTAATAAATTTTTGTGAGTAAAATCCAGTATCAAGTATAGTATCCAGCGCCATTTTTCTTCATATTTGATGGGAATACCTAGGTCAAATTCATGCTGGTGGTTATCGGTCTTGACTGTCAGCTCGGTAGCCAACCGCTTTGCCTTTCAAATTCTAGGAAATGCCCCTTTTGATACGTACACCATGGAAGTAACAGGCCAACTCACGAGAAATGAAAGACAGTTTGAAATCATCAACCTCCCGTGAACCAATGTGCAAATTTACTATTGTATAAACGAAACATAGCTGTAGTTCGTAAGCTTAATAAAGCAAATATGTATAATTCTACATCCATTTGTGAGCTTGTTTTCCATTCGTAAATTACCTCTAGAGACGAAGGCTCACTAGCGTTGAGCTGTTCTATTTCATTGGCATATTCCTCAACCTGCAATTTTAACAAATTGTATAATACTTTACTAGCTACTGTGGCGGCAAAAGAAGGTAAGATGGGTATTTACGAGTCTTATTTTCTTTCGCGTGTAAACCAAATGCAATGGGAATGCCTCGAGTTTTCTTGGTAACAAGGCGGACAGAATTACACGAAGGTTTGACACTTTTTCCTCGATAAAGTGCTGATACCCTCGCATTTTGTCACTCATCGACACTAGCAGACTAATTTTGATAGGGAATGGGTAGAGGAGTCAACAAATAAAAAAATAGCAGCTTTACCAAACTTGGTGTGTGAGAAGCGGTAATAGCGGTGATGGTAGGGAGGGTCTTTGAAGGTGTAAGGGCCAAACTCGATGACAGCAGGTTCGTTGATGAGACAGATAAATATGTACTTTGCAGCAATGGTGTTAGAGAAACTGAACGTGATGAAACAGGTAATAACGACGACATGGAAGTCAGAGGTAAAGAGGACCCAATTCTTGCCTTTATATTTGTTGTCGTTGTTGGTATCGTCGTCGTTGTTGTTGGTTTTGCTGCTGTTGTGGTTTTTGGAACTGCTGTGGTTGCCGCTGCTGTCGATAATAATATGACAGACAACATTGACTTTGATGTCGCCTGTACATTGTTTGATGAACTTAAGTGGTTATCAGTAAACAAATAAACAATAAACAAATAAACATAGAAATAAACAACGATGTCAAAATTGCAGAAGTTCCGATAGCCTTTGTAGAGACTCTGGGTCAGTAATTCGACAATATTTCTTTAATCAAATTGTCATGCTTCTTCGAGATCTTACAAAATTATTGCTAAAATAAACCTTTATTAACCTTAATGTAGCCCATAGAGCTAATTCCACTTTTAATTAGCCTGATAGCATAATTGATAGCATAGTGTCAGGGAATTGGTGAACGGCTGTACTTCCATCTCTAAAGCTGTACTTTCAGGTTTATAGAACCTATGTCGAGATCTCTGAAAATTTGTTTTGGTCTTGTTTTTGATTTTGCTTTTGGTCTTTTTGGGCGGTTGACCTAAAGGAGATTGTAAAATACAATTTAATGTGAGAGAAAACTACAAAAACAGCAAAACACAAACAGCAGACAAAAACCAAAAATAACAAAGCAAAAACATGAAAAAAAAAAAAAGCATAATACATAACCAAAAGAAAACAAAAGGAACACAAAAAAGACCGAAGACAACCAATAGGGGAAAAGATTAGAATGGCCGATTATAACTTTGTGAGCTTAATAACTCACTTGTTTCAACTGGATCTGCTGTTTCACCAACTTGACAAATATACTTTTTATGTGCTTCACAATCAGCTGCTACTAGTACATCTTGTGTACTAAGATACAAGCACCGTTTATCAGTGTCCGATTGTTGTTCAACTCTATTGACAATTGTTTCAAAGGCTGTAGTTGCGGTCACTAAAGTTCCATCGCCCCAAACAAAGTCACCTTTCGTTGTATCATATTTGATACCGATCCAGTATTCCTTAGGGTCTTGGTATTGTAAGAATGCAGTTCTTGCCTTTTGAAGTTCAGCTGAGCTTTTGATTTTGGCGAGGAATCCGCCACCATTTCTTTTACAATTCGTCACCGCATCAGACCAACGATGGAAGCTGTTTTTACCTGTATACGAAGCTGCACCATTTGCTTTTTGTAGTTCTAAGGAATTTGAAAAAGAAATTGCGCTTTCTGAGCTTGGATCAAATTAAAACTAAGTTATTTATATTAAAGATCCTGTTTAAATACTCTAAAAAATGAGCAGGATAATTTTCAAGTTAATCAGTAACTTGAAAATCATCGTACCTATTCTTCAGAGTATTTAAACAGGCGGGCACAATACCAGGTTATGATAACCTCTGTGGTATTGTTCTTTTGTTCTAGCCATTCTTAACTACAAGGTTCTAGAGACTTCTACACAATAAATGGAGGCTAGCACATTCCCTGATGAAGGCTGTGTACCCGACAACGTTAACACATTAAAATTAAATGTTGTGTTACGTTAGAGCCTCTGAAAAGAGCGTCTCTGGTTAAGTGCAAATAGTTTGCTAAATAAAGATGAATTCCAAAGTTGCTTTGTTTACAGAAAATATGGCGCAGAATTCTTTTAAAAGGAAGTCGTGGACGGCCCTAATTGCTTTAACCTCATCTGGTGAAAAACTGTGATGACTCCCATGAATTATCGTCTCTCAGACTTTTCATTTCTATGGTCCATAAGGGATTTAGACGTAAGCAGGCTGAGTTAAAGTCAGACGGAAATTTTTTTCTAGAGGAATATTAAGTTGCCGGTTGTAAGGGAAAGAATTAACAAGCAAAGGTCGTCAACGAAAAGACGAATATCATTCATCGATTATAAGGAAACAGAAAGTACTCGTCCTGTATGGCTAAACTCTACTATTACATTATACGCCTGCCGCTACACCATGCACTTATAGTTGGTTAGTACTACACCAGGAAATCCATGATAGGTGAATCCAAATAAAAGATGTAGCCATGCAGCTCGGATGAAAGTTGCTTTTCATATTTTCCGTTTGAGAAATTTAAGTTTAAACATCAAGAATCAGGTCTGAATTGTTTAGAAACAATTTCTCGATTTACTTAAATTGTACACTAAGGGAATGTGATTAATGTGACTGATAGAAATGTACACGTACATACCAGCAAGAAACAACATAGAAGTTAACATTAATTGAAAGCTCATGATCTCTCTTCGTGCAAAGGCAGCTGCCACTCTGTGTTAAGACTGAGCTGTTTCGTGGATCGGTGAAGATTAGTAACGGGACAGAACTTCATGCGAGGTACAGCACGACACCATTAGTTTTCTCTGGTCCGGGTCCAAATAGTGGAGATAGTTGTCTGCAAAACATTGTTGGTTAATTATTTACTGTTGACACAAAGATTGTTATTAACAGAGAAGCGGCAGTCTGGAGAAGGGGTAATTGTCAAGCAAATTAATTTACATACGTAAAATTAGCGAGTTTCGTTTCAACTCTAATGATGACTACTAATTAGGTGGTCGAAGATTCCGTTACTTTTGCCGAAAGAAACGAATATTCTGACGAGGGGCTCACGCTCGAAACGTCAGCTTTAGAAACTGTTTAGGGCGGACAATTTACCTTATCAACTCACTTTATAAAACCAAATTATCTACAAAATATGTGACCTAGTTTGTAAGTTTTGAAAGAAGTCCCCCGTCCACCCTCAGGCAGCTTTCGGCAACATCTAAAATACACTTAAGTCTGCATATGCATATAGTCGTCTTAACATCAGCGTATCTGCATTGTAAAATGACCCACTAGTCAGGTTTTAAAAGTATTTTCAAGCTATTTATTAGGAAAGCTATCATTTTAAACTGAAGTATCGTGGCAATTTTCAACACTATTATCCAAGCCTATACTCCTACTGTCAGAAATGAGGAAAAAGAGAAAGAAACCCAGTCAATTCGAAATAAATAAATAATAACATAAAAAAAATTAAAGAACGGTATGTCTAACACTACAGCACCTTGTAAAACTCTCCTTGTCATGTTGATTTCCATCAAATAAATTTTTGGTTAAATCAAAGTGGTCTCTACCGGCTCTATTTTGCGTTTTTTTTTTTTTTTTGAAAAAATGATTTAGTTGCAAAATTGAGTGTTTTAAAATTTAAATTGCACTGCTTAAAATAACTTCATTTAGTACTTACTGTTAATAAGACAACAAAATGATTATTTAAGCTTCTGCAAAACTTGGGTACGTCATAAACCTTCCCATAAAAGTTGGATTGTCGAGCAAAATGCCAATATAATTTTCTAGGTAAAAGGAAAATGTCAATTTGCCTAGAAAAAAATATATTAATAATTGAGATTAGTGCTACACGCAACCACCACCGAATATTATACAAAAACAATAATGTTCATCGTAGGAGATTTACGAGGCACAGTAATGAGCCAGAAAGTAAGAGATTTGAATCTTCTTACACAGTAGATAAAGCTCCAGATTATAGCCTAATCCGCATATCTTTTAATTAGAAATACTATCATGGTTTGTTAATGGCAAAATGAATGCACTTTCCAAAAGTGACTTCTCAATTCATTTGCATGTTTAATCTGAAAAGATAAACGAAATTCTCAAGACTAGCGCAGAAAAAAAAAAGAGAGAGAGAGAGAGAGAAACATACTCAGCTACTGTTACAATTGCCATTTCTCACAACTCATTGTTTTTCCTTACGATTATAACTTTTCTGATGCATGATGTCCGAAACACTTTGAACATGTTTATTTTGTTTTGTTGTTCACTAATCCTGCTTAAAATTAAATCATTAGGTTCTGTAAAACAATGTATGGATAATTTGAATTAAACAAACATTATTATTATTATTATTTTTTTTTTTTCGGGTCGGGGATGTTTTTGTGTAAAGATACTGAAATCTAAACATTACTCTCCCTTTTTCTATAACAATCAAGCTTCGGAAAATTTTTTTGATTGTTATCAACTTCTAGATCTAGGTTTTTCAAATTTAACAAATTAAGCTGAAAATCTGAAACTAAAGAATTGTGCCACAGTTGTATTTTCTCTGCTTTAAACCATATGGCTTTCGCACATAATAAGCGACTGGAAGTGTATATTGTGTGCCCGTGATGGCTCACCCTTGAATATCATTGTTTTGGACTTAAGTCCAAATTTTAGATCCTTGAAGTGGTCTTTCTAGCAATCTGTAGTGATTTTAAACTTTTGTAGTTTCCAACTCTCAAAATCGCACGAAATCAAAAATCTCTAAGTTATCGTCCCCAAGCTAAGTTATGGATTCACTGGAGTTTCCTACGGAATCGCACCGGTGGAGATAGTGTCTTACTGAGAGACAGATAAGTTGTTTAAAGAAAATAGAAAATTTTAGTCAATTTGAATATAATGCATCCGTAGGCCGACAGAAAAATAAATTGTCTTTATGACCCTGAAAGATTCCGTCCTGCGCGTCATCTTCATCAGTCATTCGTCAAGAACTACGACCTTGGTAATTTCGAAAGTGGATCAGTATCACTTAGCTGATAGCGACAGAATATAATAAGTTAAGTTTGTGTAGGATAATATATGATATAAATAAAGTCAAAAGTAAAGCAAAAGACTCTGAAATTCTAAGACATAGGAGATGTGGGCTGTGATTGCAAGCTCAGAGGCCAAAGTTTTAATTGAAATTGCACAAAAACGAATTTCACGTGTACAGATTATTACCCAACCGCCCCCTCCCCCTGCCTTTTTTCCCCTTATTTTCGCAAGCGCATCCCAAAATTACCTTCAGTCTCTCCCAACGATGTCGGTTTGGTAAACGCTGGTACCGTTAGCTTGTAATAACGTCCTCTTAATTCTTAAATTTCGGGCAGAAATTTGATCTGCGCACGAAAAGAAAGCATGTTTAATTTATTAAGGACAGGTGTTTTAGTTAGTGATTACTTTTTAGTGTTTGTCAATCAACTAAGAGAGGCCTGAATGGGATTTAGAAGAACTGGAAATGGTGAAATTCTTGCAATTAACGCTCTAATTTCTTTTCCATCAAAAATCCACTCTGAACGGGTCTCGTCGGTTGGAGAACTTAGAGATATCAGTTAGCTGTTGTCCTTGGAATTGGATAAGGCTGGATAGTAGGGGACTAATTTCCCACCTCCAGGATGGTCCCTAGTTTTAAAGTTATGCATTTCAAACTGAATTTGTCAATTATGCTATTGACAGTTATCTCCTTAGAAACAGAGTACTCTTTCTTTCACATGCTCATGACAGAGACAGCTACTTTCCGCGAAAAAGCTCAAGACAAGGATGTTTACGAAAATTGCCACACAAAAACAATTTTTTTTTCTGACGCAAAAATTCGCTCTTCGTCTGTGACAATTCAAGTTTGTTATCAGGCTAATGGCTCCTTAGAGTCCTGAGATAGTTGAAAGACGTAAGCAGGACTGCCGTGGAGAACTTTTTGTACGACGGATAGTTGCGGGAATAATTGTTGAATTCTGACAAAGATTAAAATTCCAAGAGGCTTGGAAAAAAATTTATGCATGTGTTTTCTCAGATGGATTATGAACTTTCAGCAAATTTACATTTAGGGATTTCGCAACCAGATTGACCAAGACCGTGGAAAGAGAGAGCAGTTTCTGATTTTAATCAGTATGATGGAAAAGAAAGACAGGTCATCTTTTCATCTTCGATGTGTACTTCAGTTCTTAGGCGACGGTCTTTTCGTAAACAAATATGAGAATTATGATTCTAGTCATTTTGTTGAGATAAAGGACTCATTTTAATCCAAACTGCATTGCATGACTAGTAATTTTGTTCCAGCAGTGTTATATTGAGATCCCAGTGAGAAGACAGTTTCTAAATAAAATAATTTTTAAAATACTTTAGGAATAACAGAAAATTAAGTACTCTAGAGGTAAGAATCCTCGCAAATTGGCAGTTGCCGCATAAGAAACAATATGCAGCAGATAATTTGCGTTAAAGAAGCTTTTCTTCTCAAACAATTTTCCTTTAAAAAGAATTATTTGGATGATGTAAGCATCTGTTTATTTGAATTCCATTAGGTTTTGGCGAAGCTAGAAAGTATTGAATTCTCCAATCACTTCTGCGGCCATAAAAGCAAGAGAAAATGTGTAAAAATTGACATATTACCCAGGGTTCCAGTCCACATTTTCAAAACAAAATATCAGTCGATCCTATAGGTGATAGAACGTTTTTTTTCGTGGGAGAAGTCAATTTTGATTATTAATTCTTGGAATATACAAGCACGAGCCTCGTTAAGTTTTCATGAAGATTAACAACTTCGATGCCTGAATTATGCTGTTTCTGATAAAAATGTTTTACAAGCAGCACCCTTGGTGTGCAAAGAATGGATCTACTCATCAAGGTAGTTATCTCAGCCAAATTCCGTTTAAAACCTTTCTTTCTTTTTTTTTTTTTTTGTGAACATCTGCACATTTTCCTCCGATTTCCTGCCTTATTTCAGAAAGAGCTCAGACAAATTAATGTTTACCCAGCTTTGCAAGTGTGAAACAACTCATCTCCTTTGTCGACTTCCGAAAATTGCTTTTTGAGTGAGATTCATTTTTTCAATGGTATTCCACAACAAATCATGCTCGATTGGGCAGTGTACAAAATGTATACTGCAATCCAGTTAATGTGAGTTTTCACTGTTAAATTTAAACGACTGAGCTAGAAAACTACTGGAAAAAGTTCATCTCTTTTTGGCACCTCTGCCAGCTAGTCAGCGATAATTAGTACTTGGCACAATGAACAAATTTTGTCTCCAATAGGCGGTTATTTAGTCTTCAGCAGTTATTATGATTACAAAGTGGTTCATGTCCTATCCGTTTTCAAAAGTAAACACAGATGCAGTCAGTCAGGGTGTTATAATTGCTTCCTTTGAATGTATTTTCTCCAATTGGAATAGCGGTAAAATTAAAAGCGTGAAATATTGATCAATTAAAACGAGAACGAAAAATCATTTTAATTACACATCCTTGAAAGTGCCATATCTTTTGAAACTGAAATAAAAATTTAAATCGTTTCAATGAAAATAACTTCTTTCTAGCCTACTTATCACCATTCCAGTAATCAAAGAGCAGAATCGAGATCAAAGATTTAATAATGAATATGGTCATCCTTGAAAGTGCCATATCTTTTAGAACTCAAATAGAATTCAAATCGTTTCGATGAAAATCAGTTTCTTTCCAGCCTAACAATCATCATCCTAGTACCCAGATTAGAAGATCATGCACAAAGATTCATTACTGAGTACAGCCTTTAAAAAATGAAATGATCTCCGGTTGACTTTTCAATCTAATTCACAGTGAATTTCGTTTATTCATACCCAGTTCATTACACAACCTGTGTCAAATTTAATTCGTAAAGCTCGTCTTTAAAAGCTACAATCGACAAAATATCTTTCTGAACCATCAATGCCACAACCGGCTTCGAAAATCAAACCAAATAATTGAAACATAAGCGAAACAGGCCATAATCTGCGATATTAAAATAGTGGATTGTAATATTGGCGCAGTGGTTACCTAGCTTACCTGCAAGATTGCTGAACTTCTTTTCGTCTGTCTTTTCGACATTCGCTGGGTCAAAAGTTCATGAGATGTCCTCTTAGCCTTCCTGTGAATACAAGCAGGTTCTGGCAGCGCAACGCCCGTTTTCATAAACTTTGTTTGAAAAAGCCTGATTTTCTTGAAAATGTTATGAAGCTGTGCACTGAAATTGTTAACTAAATGTGTGACTTAATTATAATTTTTTTCACGTCGTTTGAGTTCCTATTGATTCACTGTCAACGGAATGCTTGTGATTGGTCAAACTAAGTCTATACTAATTAGCAAAGGTAGGTTTTGGTTAATAGGCTATCTACTACATAAGTTCTTATGATACCTTTTGTAATTCTTTAGGTGTTTCAAAAATCTTTTTGGTGACTGGTGTTGTTCAGACAGTACGTAGAAGTTGGAATTGAGGAAATAAGGATCACTTATTCTTAGAAATAAATTGAGGAAATGAGGTTCAGTCTCTTATTCTAGAAGGTAAGCCAATTTGGTAATTTTGTAACAAACTGAAAAGGAAAGAATTATACTAACTAGCTTCTTCTTAATGCAACTGATCGAGCTTGTAATTACTTGAAGGCGATTTTCACTGAGTAAAGATGAAGCGTCATCAGACAGAATTTAATAACGATGTTGAACCCTGGAGTAACAACTACTTATGCTGCCTAAGAGTGCTCGTGGAAAGTTAAAACCACTGAATATTCGAGGACCTGAGGGGAAATTATCGTCAGAGTAAAGGTTGTCAGCAATTTTCAAATCAGTTACGTTTAAAAGTTAAAGTCAGCTGTTGCCGTAGTAGATCACGTGTACCTGCATTTGTCGAAGATTATTTTCAAGGCTATTCAGTCTCATTTCATGAGCCAAATCACCTGGCCTAAAGTTATTTTGGGTTTGCATGCGCTTGCATGAAAAATCGTCCAATCCCACTGACCACTAATTTTTTTATGGCCAATAAAACGTGGAAAATCCATCCAACTCACGCCTGAAGATTTCGCTCAGCAATCAGAGCAATCTGTTTTTGCAACTTTGAAATAACTCGAGTTCATTCTATTCCTCAAGATTTCCTGCCTACTTCTTTAACGGATCTAGAAAAAACTGGGCACTCAATCAATCACTGCATGACCCTACTACAAAAGCTTTTCCAGGTCACCGTACTTATCTCGCTAATTGCAACTTCCGTCATTTTAGCTTATTATTGTAAGATAATTATTCTCATTTTTGTCTTTTTGCTTGTTTATTTACAAAGAGAAGAACGATCAAAATATTTTCTGAGGAGTTTTTCTGTAGTTTGCCTTCTCTCAGCAAAGTGAGATCCTGCTTGAGAGGTCGAAATTTGGACGTGTCGCAAATGATTTTCAATATGCCCTGGTCACTATCAGTTTTTGACAGGTATGAAGAAACATAGGCATGCGCCAAATGGGAAAGGTCTGAAATAAGTTTCCTGCTTGTTTAGTGACTGCCGATCTCAAGAAGCACAGTCTTGAAGGAATTAAGGAGGAACAAAAGCATTGTCATCTGAAAGCCAGACAAAGGGAATGGAGTTGTCGTCTTACATCGAACTGAATGAACTGCTTGATCGAACTGATCAAGCGGTCACCTCGACTGTGATTAAAACATTCAAATGAAAATCTCATTCAAAGAATATAAAACGTCGTCTAAGAGAGCAATAGCTGTACAGCTTTTATCCACATACATGAATATCAGATGTAGAGTGTAATGAAACGAAATCAAAATAATCACATAGACCAATGAAAACAAAACAAAACAAAAAAAAAAAAAGGAAATACAAGCGGGAGCTGATAGGAACTCGAATGCAAGAGGTCGGGTCAAAACCGCCTAACGACTTGTCGATTCTTCCAAAGGAGGCCAACGCAATACTGGATTTTTCTCACTCAATTATGATCGCTCTAAATGATTTTGTGACGTAGACCGATCTTCAATTGAGTGTCGAAAGCATTCCGGTGTTTGCTGGCTCTCCTTATTTAATATATGAATACAATAGTATTTGACTTGTGGTTGACAAAAGACGAAATGAAACTCGCATGTTAACTTTAATTTACTCTTTAACCCCAAATTTGACTGACATTCAAATTCTCCTCACATATCACCACTGAATCACACATCAATGTCATGAGGATATAGGAAATGATCACGAACTAAAGAAACTCTTGATTGTTCGACAAATTCTCCTTGTCAGCACCTTAGTAAACTACAGAGAACAGTATGGAGATTATGAATACTGATGTTAGGGTAAAGTAATTGGATTACGTAAAGAAATGGGGCTTGAACTTAAACTCGCGTGTGTGCTAAAGCGAAGTTACTTGTCCAAATATCAAGAATTGGAATTTTTTTTTTAAAACCCTTTTTTGGCTCCTTTACAGTAAATATTAATATGAATAGTGTGTGCTAAAGTGAAGTTACTTGTCTAAATATCAAGAATAGGGCATTTTTTTCTTTTGGCTCTTTGCCCTTTGTGTAAATTTTGTTACTTCAGGATGAAATAAAGTTTAAAGTGGATGTTTCTCGCACCTTTACTCTTACAGGGTAGCCATTTTTGCTGTCCTGCATTTGAACGCGATCATCAATTCTGTGTTGTCTGCAATGTAGAACGCGGCGAAACTCTACCTTGAAAGCCTCATTTGTGCCTGCATAAATGAATGGATTCACTGTACTCGAAAAAAACAGCAAAAAGGTGCACACAAGTTGCACATTTCGTGGCACTACGCTTGCGGTAAAACGTTGCGTCATAGCGATGATCCAAAATGGGATCCAGCATAATCCAAAAGCTAGGACGACAACTGCTAGAGACTTCGTAATTTTAATCTCTCTAATACTCAAGTGACCGTCTTGTCCAACTCTTTGGAATGAGGTTATTACGTTCATGTTGTGTTGTTTAATTGTCTCAAATACATTGTAGTAACAGAAAATTGCTAGGGTGAAGGGGAGAACGAGAAACAGTGATACCACGATACAGTAATGTGTAATTTTAGCAGCTTCAGTTGGGTGAATGATAGTACACACAGCGTAACCAGGAATAAAGCCATATGCAGTCCAACCGGCCATCCGGGGAATCGTAACATACCCTGCAACGAACATCCATACCGCACCAACGTAAAGCTTCGAAAGGAATGGTGTGAAAATGTAGGAATAATGACTTGACTTGACAATTCGAATGTATCTGTTAACAGCCGCCAGGCCCATGGTCGTGGGAGAGACATACACAGAAAAAAGGGTGAAAAACGCATGCAAATTGCACATAATTTCCCCATAGGGCCATTTCCCAGTAATCAGGACGCCAACTGCTAACGACATTACTACGATGGAATTCAGAAGATCGCTGACTGCTAATGCAAAGACATACACGTTGGTCGTTGTACGGAGAGTTGGGTTTCTGTAAATCGAAATGCATATCAGCAAGTTGCCCGTCGAACACAGAATGGCCATGGTTACCAAAATCGCTGGCTCGATAATTACTAGTGCCAGAGGACGCTGTTCTATGGCTGGGTACATCATTAAAGTAAAGCTATCAGACGAAGAGTGGTTTTTGCGCTGGTCTTCACAGCTCGCAAATACTCTGAGTTTCGTTAGCGACGATATCTTCAACGAGACTTAAACACCTGCAGATTTTGCATATTTTTGGATAGGACTAGGACTAGTACGGAATTAAAAGGGTGAATGATACTACCTGCTGAGAGTTCATTATATTTGAAAGGTTTGCCAGCACATTTCACGAAAATCGTTCACTCTTGACAACGACAAAGACAGCAGGAACGACAATGCTATCGCAGTTGTCTTCCAGTCATTAGCATTCGTTCAGATTTATTCGACACATCAACTGTTATGTTAATCAGAACCGTGTCCAGGTTAGTTAAACAAAGACCCCTACTCCACTTTCTTTATGTTCGTAAATTGTAATGTGTCCGTGTGGATTAATTCGTCTCACTATATGATCATTAAAATACTTATTTTTTCTTTGCAGGATGTCGATTCTTCTGCGGTTGCCTCAAACGCAAAGATTTTGGTAATATCTTTAATTAAATGAAACACGAAACGCCAGTACAAACCGAACCTTACGCAGAGTATACGATGGTTTGACCAAAGAGATACATGCCTGTTTTTAACGGCTACTTGCCGTTCTTGATTAATTAATCTTTTAGCAGCGGACGAACAGTCCATTTCGAGCGAAAAAAAGATACTAGACAACAAAGATGATTTGAATCAACAAACACTTCAGGAAATTAGCACTTTGAGCGATAGGATATGAGTTTATTGAAAAATGTTTTGAGAACACTGCAGCGTAAGCTTCCAAACGTATGTTTAAAACTGCTTGTAAATGCAATAGAAATGAAAAAGCGTCGTCAATAGAATATATTTACAGGGATAGGCTTTAAAATTATAATAAGACGCTAATAAGATGTTGCGGTAACATTGGCAAATGTATCTCTCGCTAGCATTACCGTACCTAGCGGAAAAAAAAAAATGTCGACTTGCTTTCCGAAGTACACCTGACACACAAGCTCTGTTTTTCCCTCTTTGACGAACGAAAAAAAAAAGTTTAACCGTTTGCAATATTATTTAAAATTTGTAATTATCTACTGTTTTATTTTTAATTGGCCACCATCAAGATGTTCTAAAGCTGATGTTTCAAGCTTTATCCCGCCTTCGTCAGAGCCATGATATACTTCCCACCGTCGCTGAAACTTAATATATACTCCCCTCAGTGTTATTTGTTTGATGTGCACCTGGAGGTTCAGGGGATTTTTCGTCGAACATTTGAATGACAATACAAAAAGAGAAATGAAAAATTACGAGTTACGCCACACAGGAAATAAACAAAAGGGCTATTTTTTGTTCTCCGCGCATGTTTCGTTCAAGATCGAGGTATTGTCAGTTTTGAAACTGACTTAATTCTACTTAAAAATATTTCATTTTATTACTAGCTTAAAATATAAAATAAGATGAACACTGCTCGCAGTTAGCTACAGGTAGTCGATGCAAGCAGTGGTATAACGCCTTAGAGAATATTTAACCTCAATATAGCAAAACTACAGCTGTAATACAAAGTATAAAATACAATAGAATAACCGACAAGTGTCTTAAATGTAAAAGGTCTTTATAGCAGAATAGCTATGAATTACCATCGATTACAAGAAGGAAGAGGAAAAAATTACGTGCCACTAACTATACACCTTTACGAGAGAAGAAGCTAGGTCTTCATAAAAAGGAAGATAATGTAATCAAATGATTATTGTACTAAAAAAAATTTAAATCAAATAAAAAGGCGAACGAGAAATCAAATTACTTAACTAAATGATAATAACTCTGGGTCCGTAAAGTTACCGGTACTTTCGAGAAACGAGCACTTGGCCTGCTCGTCTGAGTGTGAGTAGAACTGGGTGGAACTGGGGAGGACTGATGTCAGTGGTAGCGACTTCCGTTTTGACAAACTGAGCGGAAGTCATCATTAGTGTCAAGGCTCGGATGATGAGAAGACTCGATTACCAAAAGACCAGAGGTCCGATGGTCGAATATAAGCTGGTGGGTGTTTCGAAACTTCAAAAGATTTTTTTTCCTTCTGGAACAAACAAAATTCATTATTATTATGTTTAGCAAAAGGTGCCTACGTCCTTAGCTGAGACCGAGCAGATGTTACTCGAACCTAGAAATTCAGGCATGCGCAGCTCTTAAGCATTCACCCAACCAGCTGCAGTTCATAAATAAATGTTCCAAAATATACATTTAGAGGGGAATTTGTGTTGTGCGTAGGTGGGCAGGATATTGACGAACTTGATTCAATCATGTTTTCTAAGTCAAAAGTTTTGAGTATTTGTATGTCAAACGGAAGACCGCAATGGGGAATTTGAAAAGATGTATAATTGAGTCAGAGCTCGAGAGATAATGATAGATATTCGAATCTTTCGAGATCTAAAATTTCTTAGTTTGTAGACGCTGGCAATTGATTGCTTGCTTGCTTAAATTCCATGCTCACTCTAATTAGTTTGACTTGTTAGTCGGGGGAAATGTTGCTTAGAAATTGACTTTCACAATCTCTCACGATCTATCAATTAACCATGGTAGAAAGTTGCTTAGAGAAGGTCGTCTAAAGGAAAATAAATGAAATGATTGAAATGATGTGAATCTTATTCTGGAAATGAGAATTTTAGAAACATCACTAACACCTTCCCCATCATCAAAAAAATCATTTAATATACAATTTCAGTGACGAGATAACAGAAAGACTGTTAATTGGAAAATTTATTCGTTCAATAAAAGACAAATCTGAGAATGACGTGCATAAAAATAACTAGCTTCAAAGCAAGCCTCAGGATAATGAGACACAAAATTCATAATTTTTGCAAGGATATGACGGCCTTAAATTAAACCTTTTGTTTTAGTTAAGAGCATATTAAGAGCACTTCTTATGTTTCCTTCCAATGAGAAAAAACATGCGCCGGTAAATCATATGTACCAGGAGGACTTTTCCCACGATTTCACACGAAATTCAACATTCTACGCCAGTAAACGAGCTTGAAACAAACGTTGTTCCTGCTTACTCATTATTAGCGATTATTGAATTTATTGCTAAATAAAAATTTTTAACGGTATCTCTCTCCTTCTGTTGCCTAATGGCAATTACAACCCTTAACTGCAGCGTAAGCGTCGCCGATGACTTTCCGAACGGCGACTCGCTTCTCTCCATGCCGCCAAAAATAAACAGCAAAGTTCAAAACTGAGTTTAACATCATTATTACTTCAATAAAACGCCAAACTATGGCATGAAGTACTGGGTCGACAACAGTCGATTTAAGGACGAAGTAGTAGCCCATAGCTGGTGCAAAACATACGATAAACATTCCTACTAATACGCCGAATGTTTTTGTAACTTTTCTCTCGTGCACTCGTCTTCTTTCTTCTTCCTGGTTCGGGGCTGGTCCCACAACGACACATCTAAGACGACGAATACGAAAAGTAATCCTAACACAAGTAAATAGTACAATTGTACTGCTGAAAACTATCGACGCGATTACTAGCGCCACATAATCAATCGTTCCTGTGAAAACACATACGCTTAAAAACACGCGAAACAACGCGTAGGTACCAAAGGCAATGACGATACGCTTTTTGGTCACTAATTGCAAATACCTTACACCCTTAAGAATCGCTATGTAGCGATCGATAGAGATGACAGCGATGTTCTGTAAAGTGCTATCGGCTACTAAGGTTACTATACCAGTGACGATATGTTCTAGGGAACAAGTTCTCGACGGACAGGCCAGGAAGAATATTGCCTCTGAAATGATCAGTGGTTGCATCACGACACCATTAAAGAGACCCACTGATGCCAAGCTTAGCAGGCACATGTTCAGAGGAGTTTGAAGAGCCGGTGTCTTAGCGTAAGCTGCGATCCAGAGAGCGTTGCCCATGACAGACGCCACAGAAAGACAACAGATTAGAATCACGACCAGCATAAGGAGCGGCAAGTAGAGTAAGCTCGGCTCAGAACATGCTGTTAAACCCGGATGCAAAGGCCAGGTACACAGCGGCTCGCTGACGTTCGGAACCGACATTTTTTTATAAATCGCGATTAAAACACGTACGGAGCTTTATCTCGGAGTAATTTTGTTCATCTACGAGTAACCACAAATCGACCAGGTCCCTCGGGTTCGAGAGACTATCTATGAGATGCTTCGTTTATTTGTGAGAGATTCCAGTTGCTATGTAACTGAGCAGGTCCTTGAAATGTTCTTTTGGATATTGAATGCTGTATCGAGAAAGCAAAAGAAAATTATATATGTATATATACATATAAACTGCTGTCTACGGTTTCGGTTGAAAAGCGAAGGAACTGAAAAAAAGATAATCCTGTATAAAATTGGTAATTACTTTTTCCTATTACTTATTCTCGTTAAAATTTTAGGTTTCGGTTTCCAAACGGACCAGGAAAAGGTTGTCATGTGCAATTCCGTTTAAATTGTCAAAAATGACTCGGAAGAAACTCTCTTTTCGAAACGCAAATGAAAAACAATATTTGTGCGAAATAAGTTTCAACAATAGTATTACCTGGAAATATCACTCTTCAGAGTTCATGTAGTGATCAGCTTTCTCAAAAATACCAAGAATAGAGTTGTTCAATGTTCGTCCAATTCCTGGCCGAGTACAGCAAGAGACAGAACGCCAAAAAATTTTTAGAAGGAAACAATCCACCTACAGAGGACACCTAATATGTTTCTGAGGGAAGGCATCTTCTGTTTTATTCAAATTTTGTTTCGTGCAAAACCGGATCCCTGCAAAAGAGGCCTTTGTGTCCTTTTCTAAACTTTCACCTGTGCTGAATACATACATGAAAACTTTTAAAATCGAATTTAAATGTTTTCGACACCTCGGTAAGTCGCTCAAAGATCTCAAGTGCGGCGCGCTGAGCTCGGCAAATTTCCGAGCTTTAATCAGTCGGAATTATAGACAGAGGCTTTTCTCGTCAAAAAACGCTATATTTCGCGGCTCCAAATCTTTAAAGTTGTGTTGTTCATTTGCGCGCAGATCTACATTTGCCTCCGTAATAACAAACCCACATCCGATCGTCTCAATCTCTTTCATGTCCAGCAACTCTTGGTCGCCAAGTAATTAGCATAACTCCTACGACTGATTCTTTGCCCGAAATAAACACAGACTTCAGCGTATCGATCACAAAAGGTGCCGTTGATATTATTCTTCAATGCCGCACTAGCGTTCTGTTCTAAAAGCCATACATTAAACTAATGACAACATGAAATAAAAATTCCAAATAATTACTTTAATAAGTAAATCAGGTCTGTATTAATGTTAAAATCATTAGGCCACTTCCGAGTTCTTGCGGTTCTGGTGCCGAAATTACGGCGTGAGAGCTAAGTGAGGCTAAGTGCGAAGTCGCTATCATCGGTTTAAATAATAAGTATCATGGTGCGTGAAAATGAGCAAAAATTTCTCGAAATTAAATGTAGGAGATTGAAAAATTATTCGAGGGAGAGAAGCATTCAGTTAAGTGATCGTTTTGCAAATTACAGTAATCCTTCGCAACGAATCTGCAAGAAAATAATTAAACGGTTTTAATGAAAATGGAGCTATGCAATTGAGCAATAGCGTAGCTTCATTTTCGCATATAAACCCACACACAACCAACAATTCCTCCAATCACTCTAACGAAGGGCTAATGCTCGAAACGTCAGCCTTTAAACTCTTTACGGCGGTCAATTTACGTTTTCAACTAAGTTGTTAACACTAACTGACATGTCAAACAACAGTTTAAGATGAAATGGAGGGCAATCACACACGAAGCCGAAAAAAACTAGTTCGAACGAAAAACTAGTTCGAACGAAAACTTTTACTTTTTGTGTGCAGCACAAAAGGAGCAGAACTCTCCTGATACAATTGAACGTAAGTCTACAGACTCATTGACATTCCAGCAAACCACTTGATTCCAATCGCCATGATCAAACACATCCATCTCCATTAGCTCAACACTGTTGCTTCCAGCAGATTCCGAGTCTTTCTTGAAAAGAGAGCAGTTTAGATACTTTAGGATAGAGAACGTTTTCGGAAACACAACACAGTCATCTTGCTTTCCTTCAGGCTGAACTGAAATGCCAAACTTACTCATTCGCATGAAAGTCTTGAAATCCTCTCTTTCCATAATATGCCAAATCAACAAAAAATTGTTATAAACGCCAATTTTAGAACCTTTCTCTCGGTCTGCCAGTAACTCCATCACGGAGACTTGGTGTGTACCATCCTTTAGGAGTATTTTAAGACTCTCAATTGCTTTTATTTGAGACAAGATGTGCTGTCTTCCCTCATCAGTATCTCTTACCATGAGAAGAAGTTCAATAAGGGTAAAAACCTGATCTTCAATAGCCTCCGGTTGCTTGAAAATCGGTTCACTCGAAGATTTACGAGAGTTAAACAATTTCGACCGAGGGAACAGGGCTGGTTCGGCAGATCGCGGGTGCACAGAGTAGTTCATAGAAACTTGTAGAGGGTGCTCCATCGGTGGGTCAGAACTATTTTTTTTATTTTTCAAAGTTTCCAAATCTTGCCTGATTAAATGAAGGATCTTTAGGGTCTTTTGGCCAAGTTGGTGCAGCTCCCATTTCTCCTCACTTTCTATCAAAACTTTCAAGAACAACGTCTTCAGCGTGTAGGTTGTGATGACTGCTTTATATTCCATCGTGTACATGTCCAGTTGAGATTCAAGGAAAGTTTGAATGAGATACTTCAAAACACGATAGCAGCGTTTTTCGACCGAGTCAAGCGGAAGAGAGCTTAGCTTTGATAATTCCCATGGGGACTCTGATCTTCGTGAGCACGAAATCGTATTAATCGACCAGAAATCAAATAGTAGTTGCAGAGGTTCAGAGTCGGGCGTACCATGGGAAATCTGGATGGCCAAACAAATGTCAACTGACACAAACCTTTCTGAACCATCAGCATCAGTAAACTTGAGGATTTGGAGGTATGTTCTGCCAGATGGGTATTTCAATCGGGCGACATGTTGCCACTGGGGGAATTTCTTAACCTGTGACAGCAATGATCGATGAATCGCCGCAGATACCATGGCAGAGATTTCATCTCTCCAAGGACTTTTGCCATCTTTAAAAATAAGTTGATCTCTCCTCCTTTGTTCGTTTTCCTCTTGATCGCACCAATCAGGGCAAAGAATGTCTTCCATAAAACAGAGCTCTTTCATGCTCAAAATAAGCTTCGTCGATTGAATGTTAATGTCATAATCATCCGCACAAAAGGCTTTACCATTTTTCCATAACAATTGTTCTTGTAACGCAGGTAAAATAAAAACGTAGTCAAATTCATCTGCTTGTCCAATCTTAGTACCCTCAACCATACTGCCTCCCTGTTGGACAACTGCGTTGTGAAACAAACAGTACTTACCAGAAAGGTCCAGTAACGTACCTTGTATGATCTGGTTCAGCTCTTCTTGGATAACTTGAGCGTTTTCACCGTCTGGAAAATTTGCTTTTTTGTCAGCGAGCTCCGTTAAGAACAAGTCAAGTTGGTTTGGGCAAGCAATGGTTGCTGAGTCTTCACAATACACTTTTGAAGCCATTCCGCATTCAATTATGAGATCTAAAATAAAGTAAGAACAATAGCGTTGCCCCTCTATCTTAACAATAGCGTTGCCCCTCTATCTTTTATAATTAGTTTAAAACACTCGACCTTACACCTAAAAACCGTAAGAAAAGTGAAATGCCTCATCCCCTTGTCAAAAATCATAATAAACAAACCAAATAAACACAAAGTAAGCGACAAAAACAAACAATCCGAAGACATATTCATACAACATACTTAACAAAGGGTTATATCCGGTAACTACGGTAAAAAAAAAAAACAAAGAAAGGGAAATATAGAAAAACAAATCCTTTATGTAATTTCCTTCTGTTTCCTCGAAATTAGTTTTCTATCTTCCAGTCCTTGTCTCCTAATTGTGGAACGATTAGAGTACTTTGCAAATAGAGAATCCATACAAGTCAGAAATACGTCTTTTCGTTTTTGAAACCCAGTTTGAATCACTGCGACCTACCCCTCAAAAACATTCAAGCGTATTAAGAAAACTTCTACACGATACTTCATGTTCTGCAAAACAAACTGTCACTATCGACTTGTCTCCACGACAGTTGGAGCGACTTTTTGCCGAGTGAATTCGATAATTAAAAGAACTTTGCACGATTTAAATTTGAAAATGGCTCATATTTGTTTCTTATTTTTCGTCTTCCTGATCTCTGTCAACGAATTTAAAGTTTAACGACTATTTCTAGAGGTCTTTTGCTGCCTGCAGACGACAATTTATTCCATGCAACAGCTGAGGATTCTTCCCCGGAAAGCCAAGCTACGAATGATATATTTCAAAAAGTTTTTGCAGATTGAGTCTTAAGATATCTGTCTAATGTACCTCGTTAACTCGAGCTGTTTCCTTTCAGTAGCTTGAAACCGAAATCATATCTCAAGTCCGTTCGACGACATCGACCGTCGAAACTTACTGCTGCGCGGTGTTACTTCGCCTCATTTCGCCACAATAGACTTCATAGCTAACCACTAATCACCGGAATTTTCGCCTTTATGTCGTTTCATTCAAAAGCGATCGTATGTTTTCGCTTGAAGCTCACACTTCAAATTATTAGAATCTTCCCTTTCGTCAGTACTTCCGTCCTGCGCTGAGCGAGTCGCTGCACTCTAGCTCGGCTCCAAGCTCCCGCAAACACCGTCACGAACGAAATGTCACGCAACACTTCATCTTCCAATGGCGGGAATAATTTAATGGCGACCCCATCGGTGAGCTTGAGGTTTTTGCCTCGTCCTCTGCGAAGAGCTTTGCTTGATTTTCAAAAAGATGGTGTCCGGTTTGGTATTAGAAAACAAGGAAGGTAAAAAAGCAAAGAATTTGATGAAAACCCCATGCATTTTTTTAAATTATTCAATATTGTTGTGTGTGCTGAATTGGCCCGCATGCGACGTATTTTAAACTGATTTAAATACGAAGAGCTTTTATATCAATGTTTTTTTTAGCATACCCTGAAACTGATTTTGATTTGTGTTTCTTTCTCTCCTTGTGCGAAATCCTTGGTTATACACATCACAGATGTTTGATAGGAGACGAGGTTTGTTTGAATATTATTTCTTCAAATGATCAATGATTGGTTTAACCGTTCCCTTCTTGCAAGCAATTATTTTTATGGCAGACAGTAAGGAGAATTACCAATGAGATCTTGGGATTGAGAGGTTTAATTGATTTAAAGCCATAACTGTGAATAATTGTCATTATATTGTGCAGATGGGACTTGGCAAAACCCTTCAAGCAATCAGCATTGCATATTATTACAAAGATACCTGGCCACTGTTGATTGTGGTGCCATCCTCTGTCAAGTTCTCCTGGATTGACGAGATCGAAAAATGGCTGCCTGAAGTTGAACCACATGATTTGAATCTTATCAGATCAGGCTGCGATGTAAGGTTTGTCAGCAATGAATTTTTTGTCTGGCAAGAAATGTCCTAGCTGGATCAAGATGTTTATTAGCTGACTTATCCAGCTTCTACAGTTCTGATCATGATTGATAGGACAAGGAGAAATTCTGCACAAAAACTTCAGGGTTATCATTAGGAAATGTAACAGAAAATATACTGGGTGTATAACCTGAACTGTGTAGGTAGCTGAATTGAATAAAGCTTGTTTGGCAGACAGATGGCATGGAGAAAGAAACATGCACTAGCTTCTAGTAGGGTCCGGGGCATGCTCTCTGGAAAAAAAACAACTGAAATTTGTAACTCTCAGAGACATCATTTGCAGCATTCTGATGCATCTTCAAGTGCCTTTTGTAGCTAGGTATTGCTTCTAGAATCAGTTCAAAAATTCTTTTTTCTGTCTTTAATCACAATTTACAATTTAGCCAATTCAAAATGGTTTGACAGCTGGTGGGTTTCTGCCAACTACCACCTATTTCCTTCTTTTGACTACCATTAAAAGAACCCCTTCTTTATGGAATATTTTACCAAAATGAATTAAAAAAAGAAAAGACATCCACATAACTAACTCACCAAAATAAATCAAGAAAACAAACAAGACTAAAACCTCTGTGAAAGCAAAAAAACCTTTCTGAAAGGTCCATCTCATAGCAGAGTAAAAACCTTTTAAAATATAACATTTACATACAGCACTTGTTGATTTCTTTTTCAGTAACCTTGGGAAGGCCGTGATTCATATTGTAGGTTATGGTCTGCTGAGCTTAGCAACCTCCAAATTGTTACTTGAAGCTCTGGAAAACCACAAGTTAAATATTGTCATATTAGATGAATCACATTACTTAAAGAACAGAAAATCAGCACGTACAAAACATCTGCTTCAAATCTGCAAGAAAGCCAAGCATGCCATTCTGTTGAGTGGAACACCATCACTTGCTAGACCAAGGGAGGTTTGTGAGATATGCTTTCATTTGTTGCATGGACTGTTTTTGTCTCGAGAAAATTGAATTGACATTTTCACTTTTTCTTTCTAGCTCTTTCCTCAGCTGGACATTATCTGTCCAGGTAGGTTTGGTTCTTTCAGTCGTTTTGTTCAGAGGTACTGCAATGCTCGCGATGTATTTTTCAGAGGAAAGAGGAGCTTTGACACAAGGTATATATGGGTGCACTGCATATAGTTTTTTCTACTTTTGTATTTATCTTTTTTATTTGATGTTTGACTGATTCATTGACTGCTTTATTGATTCATCGATATGAATGTAATGCATCAGTATTTTTTTTTAATTCTTATCTTTATGTAACTGGTATACATTTGGATTGATCAACAATTGAATAATACTTTTCTCTTTACAGTGGTGCTTCAAATCTTGATGAGTTGTATCATCTCCTGAAAACTCATGTCATGATAAGAAGGCTTAAGAAAGAGGTTGGTGTACTGTTCAGTTGTATGTACTGCATGATAATAAAAAATGATAATGATATTAATGATAATTTAATAATATTAATGTTAATGATGATACTTTAAATTTCTATTTCACAAATCAACCCTTTAATTCTTAAATCAAATTTGTAATTCTCCTTATTGTCAACCATACAATTTATATAATGTTAGTTCAGAGAATTTAGTATTGGATCAACTAATTGTCCCCAAATTGATATTTTTCTTTATTCTCATCACTTGTCTGCTCTATATTGTATTGATATTGTAAGGAGAAATTCTCTCTTGGTCACTCATGGGAGTTAAAGGGTTAAAATGTTGATATGATTAAACATGCTTTACAATCATAAACCACCTTAATGATCAAAATCCATGAAGTGAAAATACATCTTCTTTCCAAAAAAAATAGTAAAAAGAAAGATTACAAAAATATCATGTGGAAAATGCCTATCCTTGATCAAAAGTTTACAAAATTAAATGCGTCTTTAAAGTAATAGATCTAAAAGTGTTTTAAGTGACTGAATTTCTGATTTTAAGAGGCAACTTACTTCAAAGTCAAGGTGCAGTGGATGTAAAAGATCTATTCCCAGCCTTTTTTTCAGTCTGTTACTTAGTTACGTAAGAGATATGCCAGCATTTGATACATTCTGAATAACTTGACTAAATGAGATTGTGAAAAATTTCTTCCTTTTTTTTCATAAAGGTTTTGACTCAGTTACCACCAAAGAGAAGACAAAAAGTTTATTTTGACATCTCAGAGTCCAACAGTAAATACAATGCAGTGAGTCAGGATACAGATAACAGCTATGACTGTGCTTTTGTTAACTTCTGGAAGTGATTCAGATAATCTGTTGTCTTCTCATACTTAAAGCTGTAATGAAAAACTTCCCTTGAGTACTCCTGATGAGATGAATGCATATATGTCACCACTTAATCTTTTCACTCTGGAAATTATTGCAGATGTAATCATTTTTAAGTGCTGTACATTTCCTTGTAGGTAATGCCATACCTTGCACAAAGCTGATGCCAACTTATTAATTTCTTATCATCTATTTTCTCTACAATGCAGTGAATGTTGAAATTGCGGTGATTTTTTTTCTGATCGGCTTCCTGCCTCCTATGTATATTCCATACAAATGAGTCTGGAATGACAGCAAGAAGGGTCCAATAAAATTTCCCCATGCTCTTGTCTTGTTGTAGGCCAGTTAAGTATGTTTATGTGTGCTTGTGTTCCACCAAATGTTTAGGAATTGAAGCAGATCATGAAAGACTTCAGGAAATGTTCTGCTATTATTAATGGGGCAGTTGCAGATGACCTGTCAATTAAGTCACCTCTGACAGAAATCAGACGCCTATCAACACTTGTATATCACTATACTGGGCTTGTCAAGGTGAGAAGATTCCAGAGTTTGGCTACACTCCACTTCTGTTTGACTCGTTACTTAACCCTTTGACTCTCAAGATTTCTTTAGCAATTCTCCTCACTGTCTGCCATACCATTCCCATGATGTTAGTGTGGAGAATTTAGTATTGGATCAACTTATAATACCCCAATTGATATTTTTCTTTATTCTCATCACTTGCCTACTTGACATTGTATTGATATTGTGAGGAGAAATTCTATCTTGGTCACTCATGGGAGTCAAAGTGTATGTAATGCTTTAAAATAATGGAGAGTGTCTGTGCTAATTTGAGAGAGGTGTGCTAATTTGATGAAGCTTTTTACTTTTTTTTCTTTTTTTTTTTTTTCAATGATATTTTATATGGGGCTTTCTTCTCTGCTAGAGTCTGGTTCATAGTAACTTGGTCTGGTCACATGACACCAGACCAGCCTGATCACTGGAAAGTTGTACCTTCCCTAGTCTCTAATTGGGGTCGGCTGGTAGGCGAAAGACGAACCTAACGAAGTCATTAAAATGAACTTCAGTTTGAATATTTGGACATACATCGCCTGAATCCTGCTTCATTCTCACTACCTGATACGCCTAATTTCTTCCCTAAGATTGGTCCAGTTCTGAAGTACGTTGAGGACTTGGCCCAGGGAATGGACGGCAAATTCATTGTGTTCTTCCGTCATCGTCTTGTACGTCAAGCCATCGAGGCAAAGTTGGTGACCTTGAAACTCAAATACATTTGCATTGCGGGTGATGTACCTTCCGCAATCAGAGGGGTAAGGATTTCTGTATGCTCTTTTAATTGCTCTGCATGTGTGAACGTCTGTTAAAGGGCCGGGTGCATTAGGGAGGAAGTCGAAGAGACTATTCAATGTAACTGTTTTCGTGTAACTTGACCCTTTTGGTCTCCTCGCAACTTGTTTGTTTTTTTTTTCACGTCATGAATTCTCCACCCGTTAGACTTGTCCACTTCTGTGCTATTGACTTCAACAGCCAGTATTAAATTCGATGAAGTTCCCACTTTGAGTATTAAATCTTGTTTATCTGCAACTGAAAAAAGATCCTTTAAAAACAATTGTCGTTACGAGAGATGTAAGGTCTGTGTTTTGAAATTTTTTTTGTTGTTGTTGAGGCTAATGATCTGTATACTTGCTTTAGGAGTTGGTTAACTCATTTCAAACTGATCCACAAGTACGCGTTGCTGCCCTTTCCATTGAAGCAGCGTCTTTTGTGAGTATCAAAATGGATACGATTTTTTTCTGATTAGTATTATTGGGCTCGTATAATCAATAAGCCTAGATAATCAAATTTTCCAGGCCTACAAAGGCACGGAATTCTGCAGGGGTCATTAAAATGTATGCACCATGACTGGAAGTTGTTTTTTAGTAGATTAACACAACAAAAAATAGATTTTCCGTCAGGTAATTGCAAACAAGTTCCAAAGGGGGCGAAGCCTGTGTTATCGAGCCTTTGCTTGGGTAACAACCTCCTTTGTATAATTTATTCATCTATTTGTCTGTCCGCCTTTGTTATCATGGTTTTCCATTATTTTTTAAAATTTTCTTCGTCAGGGACTCACTCTCACTGCAGCCCATCATGTAGTGTTCGCGGAGCTTCATCACACTCCAGGTGTTATTATACAGGCTGAAGACAGAGCACATAGGATAGGGCAGACACTACCGGTTAACATTCATTACTTGATTGCCAAAGGGACTGTGGATGAGACGCTATGGTCCCTTATTAGACGCAAGGTATAGTTGTGGTAGTTTTCGTGGTATGTAGGAGAGACATAATTGTTCCTTATGTACATTTTGCACTGCATTCAGAAGAAATTTTTCCATTGCATGCACTTGATCAAGGTGACTTCTGCTCCAGGGATGCGTTGTTTAAAGAACGATTCAGTTGACCGACGGTTCGCCAACAATTCTTTTAGTTAGCTTTGTAGCTTTGCAGACAGTTTTAATTGGTTATATTTTTTCCTCCAGTTTTGTCTTACGTTAAGGTAAAACCTCTCCAAACATAAGTCCTGATTAAAAACTTTATTCTAAGAAAAATAATAGACAGGTAAAAGTTTTAATCCTGTGTCATCGCTAACCGCCTTCGAACAACCGGGCCCAGAGGATTGCACGCTTTGATTCACTGCGATCTGATTGAAAGAAAAATCATTCCATCATTTCAAACAACACCTATCCAAGGAGAACCTAAAATCGATCACAGCTCTATCATTCGTGTTTCCCTTCCCTTTGCAGGTCTACGTTACTACCACCACATTGGATGGGAAATGTAAAGATCTTGAGACAGAGAATGCAGATGAAGATCTAGGTCGGAAATTGTCAGCATGTGCTGCCTGGATCCAAGACCAGGAAGAAGGTGCTGAGGACCTGGAGGATTTCGTAAATGAGCAAGTAAGTCAAGCTTAGCGATTAAGAATTCAATTGACAAAAGAGATTGGCTCAGGGGACATTTAGTGTTACTTCAAGTTTTCTTTTGGTCCTTTTGGTTCAAATGCACTGTTTTGCCTTGAAAACAAGATTGAATATTTCATTAAATCAACCTTTTTTTTCCTGCTGTTGCTGGAACTTGCTACAAGACCTTTCTATCTTTGCAGCTTTCAGCAAAAGCGACTGGTAAGGATCAAGGGCAAAGAGATCTTCGTTCTTTTTTTGTTGCAACACCAGTTTCTTCAAAGTCGAACTCCTTTGAAAACAGTGCAAGTAGTCACAATACGACGGTCCAGAGAAACAAAAGTGCAAAAATGGGTGCGGCCAGGAAAACTTCAGATGATCCGATACATGTGCTTGAGAGTGAAGAGGAGGATTTATCGACTTTGGATGATCTGAAGGATGATGCCCTTATTTGGGAAGGTGCATATTCTATATTGTACTTAACTCTTTAACTCCCGTGAGTGACCAAGACAGAATTTCTCCTTACAATATCTATACAATATCGTGCTGACAAGTGATGAGAATAAAGAAAAATATCAATTTTAGGCCAAGGATTACTAATTGATCCAGTATCAAATTCTCCAAACTAACATGATGAGAATCACATGGCAGACAGTGAGGAGAATTACTAAAGAGATCTTGGGAGTTAAAGGGTTAATGATGTGTTGTGTTTATTTTGGAAGTGAGGAAATATCAGACGCCTCTTCTTTTGGTGATTTTCTTAAGGTCTCTGAAATCAGGTTGCCTTATTATAGTTTTTCATTTTTTATTAGCACCCGATATCGTGCAAATCTCTGAGAAAACGCCACTCAAGAAAAACAGTAAACCTTTCAGACAAAGTCTAGAAAACCGCGAAAATCTTAAAACTGACCCTACACCTCACGAAGAAGCACTAGAGGAGGAGGACTGTCCACTTAAGCCAAAAACAGTAAAATTGAGGAAAATGAAAAATGGCAAGCTATTGTTTGCGGAGGGCAAAACCACGACAAGACAAAGTCAACAAGAAGCCAACTGCAAAAGTCTTATAGAATTTGTTGGAAGCGATCCTGAAACGGAATCACAGACGTTACGAGGCTATCTTGATAATGGAGATGGACCTGAAATTTTAAACGTAGAAGATCAATGCAATTTTATAGGGAAGAGCGATTTCTTGGGTGGAAGTTCGAAGCCGAAAGACCGGGAATTTTTAACGTATTTACAAGAGGCTGATATAGAGTGTGTAGAAGTGGTCTGTAAAAGGACATCGAGATTGCTAGAGGACGATCAAGATAGCTTTAATGATTGTACTACGGAAAGAATGGAACAAAAAATAGGAAGTGCAGTTAACGATTCACGATATCCGTCTTGTCAAGATTTCGAGGGAGGATCTTTTTCAAAAGATATCGGTGGGATTGAAATGTCAGACTCACCCAGAAGAACATCAGAGATAATCGATAAAATTGGAGAGTTACAAAGTAAGCAAGGAACAGAATCGTGCACAAAGTCCTGTGGTCTTTCTTTTGATGACGCTGGCAATAAAAGTGACAAAGATTCTGCTAACATAGGAACAAAGATGCCTTCATGCTGTCATCAAGGAAGGAAAAGTGACCAAAACGTTTCCTCCCATTTCAACATTGTTTCTCTAGACGATAACGGGACTGTAGATGAATATGTTTTATGTGAGAGGAGTAACAGTCGAGGATATGGAACGAAAGCGAACCAACCCTTAAAAGAGAGTACTAGAAGTACTAGAGACAAAGTTTTCAATCCTCCAAAGTATTCATCACAAGTTCTTGAAAATAGGGAATGTTTGCCGGTTAAAGAGGATGGAAATACTAACGTCACTGCAGTGCCTTATGATGACAATTCAACAGATGATTTCCAAGATGACAGCTTTAAAAATACTCAGGTCGCCCCTGTACCGGTCACACAGAAGCCCAGTAAAAAGCGGAATGCTGCTAACAAACCGAAACAGAAGACAGAAAATCGAGAGGCAAAGAGAGGTAACGGGTGGAAGCAACCACCTACCGATTGGCATTGTAGTGCTTGCACTTTTATAAATGATGGGCAGCTTTTGGAATGTTCCATCTGCTTCACACCTCGTGCAAAAATTGACGAGGCCACGAGCACTGTCGACGATAATCCTCTGAGCATCAAAAGTATCAGTGGACAAGGTCGCGATAACGTATATATTTCAGATAAAATGGACCTATATGGAACGGGTGTAGACTGTATGGATACCAGTTCTACTTGTGTGAATTCTGGCAAGATCAGTGGAATCGTGAAACATGAGTCATCACTAATTTCCTTTGGCTCTGCCCAAATGACGTCTCCTATAAGCACTGGGCAAACTGTAGAACCACATGCTACAGGAAAGGCTATTGTCCATAACTTGTCGAGTGAGTCGATGATAACACCACCGTGTGATTCAAAGAGTGATATTAAATCTACTATTCGTAAAGCTAAATCAACTGATAATGATAGTGTGTATAGTCAAGTTGCTGAGTCCGGCTTGCCTCCTTGGTCGTGCGCGGCTTGCACCTTCTTGAACTTGTCAGAAATGATTGAATGTTCAATGTGTCTGACTCCAAAACGGCGAAGCCGGAGGGTGAGTGCAAAAAAGAGTCTACTCACAGTGGAAACAGAGAAGGAGGCCAGTGCGAGCAAGACCACTTCGAGCGACAGGCGACGCTGGAAGAGGGCTAAGAATGCAGAAGACCATAATCCACGAGAAATGGATGAAGGCTTGACAGCAGAACCATTGGGACTATCTCGTGAAACACAAAGTAGTAGTCACACGCAGTATGGCCATAAAGTCTTGAGAGAAGAGATTTCTGAAGAGGTCAAGTCGAACCCTCGAAAGCGACTTAGACTTGATGAGGTCGAAGGAGAAAATGGTATCTGTGATGTTTCATACGATTCAGACGTTTTGTGCAGTGACACCACCATTAAGTGTTCCTATGCATTGTCCTCCTCTGCAGCTCCATACGAGCTGATGGCCGCCACACCGCCTGATGGTAAAGGCATAGATGTAGCTAGTCAAGTCGATTCTGTTCTTTCCTCAGATCAAGAGGAACTACAACTTAGAACCGACCACGGCGCAAGGTGCTGCAAGATTGGCAATAATGATTTGGAAATGGACTGTGAACAACTTGACGTTTCAGATCATTTGGTAACTGAACAGTGCAGTGGAGTTTCTTCGACGGTATCCTCCGAAGGGAATGTTCGTGGCCATTTGCCATCCTCCAAAAATTCGGAAATTGACGAAGTTATGGAGGACCTGGAAGAGCTGAAAGCTGCAGCTGAAAAATTTTTTAGTTCAGAATGGGAAGACGACGAGCGGTGGTGGGAAGAAGAGAGTTCTTTTGAAATAAGCTCTTCCGCTTCTAGTAGTGAAACAGCCTCAAGTAGTCCGACAGTTACAAGCCCAGGATTTACAAAGTGCTCCGATTTTTGTTCTGTCACGGAGCTTAAGAAGAAGCTAGAGACAGATGCTAAGCCCAAGGCTGCGCAAAAACCTCAATATGCTAAAGGTAACCCTGAAAATACTGAAGCTGCGCCATTAGCAAATGAATATAATTCAAGGCCTGAGTTGGATCCAGTAATAGAAGAGGAGGAAGAAGATGAAAAAGACGCTCCCCCTGAGGCGATGAAGTTGAAATTCTGTTTAAGCCTTTACACAGAACGGTTATATTTGTACACTCAGGTGAGTCATTTACTGGTTTGTTTTTCCTTCTCACCCTCCTTGTAACTAATGCAATGTCAGGATAATTATTCAAAGGAGCCCTATGGGAAAATTACATCCAGCCGGAAAGACAATACGAGTGTGATTAGTAAAACAGATTTTCTTCTGTGCTTAAGGGTGGCTCAAAATATGATAATCATAAGATACGGTAGCGCATTTGTATTCTGTAGGATGGGAGCGCTGGCGTTTTTGTAGGAAGGCCGCAAAAACATAAACAAACAAACACACACTTAACTGGAGCATTAAGAATAAGAAAGTAGATTTTGTGCATCGTGATCATTGCGGTGTTTGGTTTTCTGCATAGGATGATCTTCCACTTGGAATTAATTTCTGCATGTCTGATGTTAAGAACTGCAACATGGACGATTTACCCGCCATTCTTCATCATGATGAAAATTTAAGGCAGGTTGAAAGATTCCTTGAAAAATGGAGAAGGTAATTAAGGCCTTACGCGTTATTACGAGGTTACTTTGGTCAATTGTAGTTTAATTGCTTCATTTTAGCTTTGTTATGGTAACTGAATCAGACTGGATAATACTTATACATACTTAAACATACATACATACCGATTTGATCTCGGTAAAGGGAAATGCAATATGAACGTTCTAGCAGGCTTAGTATGAGTTTGTGAAAATCGTCTAAGTTGAGTCAAGCTTTCATTTGTGGTATCACAAATACAACGCACTTTTTCCTTGGTTTTCATTTTGTTTAGGATGGGAGAGGGGAAGAAGCGAATACTCCGAAAATCAGGACTTGTGTTTGATGATCCTCTGGAAGCTTATGAGTGTGCAAGAAAGGTAACCGTTGGCTTGTTTTCATGAAATCGTTACACATTTGCTTAAAAATTTTTGTTCCTAGTTTACTTTGATAAAGGGGGTATATTTAGCGACTGGAAGCGTTTCCATGATCGGGACTTAATACACCCAACAACGCGCGGGAAAAGACTCATAGGGGTTGGAAGGTGAACGATTGTATCCTCAAAAGGAAGACGCCTTTTGGCTGTCTTTAGTGGGTACAATGTCGTTGTTGTTGTGGTTGTTGTTGCTGGTGTTTGTGGTAATGGTTGTGCTGCTGTTTCTATTGCCATTACTCAGACATCCTTTGAAATTACTGATAATTTTTTAAACCTTAGGCAAGGCTCCTCTTGTAGGAAGAAGTTCTTTATTTAATTCTTCCCCGCTATGATGATCGCATCTCTTCACAATAAAAAGAACAACGTTTTGTTTCGGTTCAGTTGAAGTATTTTACATTTGGTTTTGTCAGGGTTTGTCAAGGGCATGCAGCTATGTTCGACACCCTTCAAAGGTAAAGGTCATATATTTTTTAAATTTCTTTCCCTTATTTTGTTGATGTTGATTTTGGTATTGTTGTCGATGGTATTAGAATTGCTGCTGATTCAGTTAAAATAATTTTAAAAAAGTATGATATATTACAGTTCACAAGGCAACCAGGTGGACAATCAGATATGGTTTGATGCTTCTCTGGTTTAAAGATTTGATAAATGTAACCGAGAAGTTTCAATTCATAGACCCAACGTTTCCACACTCCTGTCTAGTGCCTTCATCAGGGGTGATCTAATCGCTGATGAAGGTACTAGACAGAAGTGTCGAAACTTTGGGTCTACGAGTTGTAACTTCTCGGTTGCATTCATTAAATCTTTAAACCAGAATAGCATCAAAATATTTCCAAAAACCATTGTCTGATTATTTCTTTGTCCCTTCCTCTTCCTTTACTTGTTATCTTGCAGGAAACTCAGATTCTGGCTGCCCATAATACCGCGGAAGAAGTAGGAGGAAAAGTTCGGGTAGTTAAGAAACCCAAAATTGTACAAAACAAAATAGAGAGGAAAACTGATCACGCCAAGAGTATAGCAGGTGGTGCAGAAGAAGGAGAGAGCGTGGAACTTAACAGCAACACGCAAATGTGTGCCTCAAACACAATCTGCGAGGATAAGATCTATCACCAGGCTGTGACGACTGATGGGGTACCACTATGCTTGTTCTGTAAGGGCCCTGTGGAGTTCGCAAAGAGAGTGCGGTGCTCAGATTGGGATGCAAGATTTTGTTCGCACGACTGCAAACAGGAATATCAGGTAATTGACAGCTTTTAAGGAACCTATTTCTGCGTTTTGCGCCAGTATTTGTTGGTTTAGTTGAACATCGATGAAGGGGTTTGCAAGAAAGAGAAAATGAGGGGAAAGACAGGAATGACCGAAGAGTATTTTCCAAGTCGTTTTCACTGTGAATTGTTGTTCAAGAATTACATTTTCTCTTCCCTCTCGGAATGGATTTGATTGATAAGTTAATTACCTCGTAATTCCCTATGATATTGCTGTTAATCCAATTAACTATCAAATACAGTATTCATGCTGCAGACCACAATCCGCGACAAAATTTGTCGACATATGAAATTCACGTAGCCACCATCAAGGATGGCTTAGAAGTAAAATACAAGTTGGACTGTGTTTCGCTACAACTCCTCTTCCCCCAATTCAGTATTTTGCAATCACAGATAACAAAATACAACATTGTTCTGGTGGAATCTCAATTATAATGTGTTTAATTCTTTTCGCTGTTTGAACTGATAAAAAAAAAAAAAATTAAAATAGAGTTGTTTTTAATCTAGGTTCGTGTTAGCGGTACGGCGGCAAGGAGAGCTTTGTTTGAAGCAGAACGAGGAATTTGTCAGCTGTGTTCAATGGACGCCCATAACTTGTACCAAAATGTCGTCGCGTTACCTGTCAGAGATCGGCCGGCATTCTTGGCTCAGACTCATTACTCGACTTTGCCAAATCAAAAGTTGATGAAAATGATAATGGAGCCAAAGGAGGGAATGGTAAGCTGAATGTTCAAAAACACCTTGCTGTTTTAAATATCTACATGGCCCAATTTTACCAATTTTTTTTTTGTCGATTTTTGATTGTATTGTTCAAAACAATCTTCGTTATCAATGCGCATTAAGGGCTGGAGACAAAAAAGTAACTTGCGGAGAGAGCCCTCCCCCTCACTCCTCATTAGTAATCAAACCGAACTCGTTCGGCTGTCACGCGTTGCTGCCACGCGCGACCGTCACGCTCGACTGTTGTGCCCTCATGTTGGATCAGTCAAGTAAGACTAAACCCTTCATCTGGTTTTCTTTTTTTTTTTTTTTTTTCTTTTTTTTTTTCTCATGATTACTCTAGTTCTGGGAAGCGGACCACATCACACCTGTGTCAGAGGGAGGCGGGGAATGTGGATTAGATAATCTGAGGACCTTGTGCGTTATATGCCACAGGAAGGCCACTAGCGAATTAAACAAAAGACTGAAACAACGAAGGATACTAGAGCAGGTTGCTGGATGTGCTGATATTTCGACGTTCTTTCGTCCACTTAACTGAGAGGGATATCATATAATTGTAAGTCAGATGGCAAAGTGTTAGAGAGATGAATGGCCAGGGTATGTCTTACGTAATGAACAGGGCTTATAGTATTACATTTGTTCTTTGTTTTGACCTTTAAATAACTGTTTTCCTTGTTATAATTATTATTTTTCCTTATGTCTAGGAAACTAGGTATGTCTTTTTTATGTTTTTCGGTGTTTGAGTCTGAATTGAGATTCAACAAAATAAGTTTTGTTACAACTTATGTAATTTGCGTTGCGTTACGTTTTAGTCCAAATTTCATGCTTTTAAATGAGGGTAAATAACCACAAGATAATCAATGAAAAATACATTTTCGTTGAGACTCAACAAAATAAGTTTTTTACAACTTATGTAATTTGCGTCGCGTTACGTTTTGGTCCAAATTTCATTCTTTTAAATAAGGGTAAATAACCACAAGATAATCAATGAAAAATACATTTTCGTTGAGACTCAACAAAATAAGTTTTTTACAACTTATGTAATTTGCGTTGCGTTACGTTTTAGTCCAAATTTCATGCTTTTAAATAAGGGTGAATAACCACAAGATAATCAATGAAAAATACATTTTCGTCTTTTTTTGAAAGGTTTGTTATCATTTTTAGCTCGGAATAGGAAAATTATTATTTTTATTAATCTATTAAAGAAAACGGTTTCCACAAGTTACAAAATTACAAAAATTAACAGAAATTAAAGTGGCTGTGATAACCACAAAATAATCAGTGTCTTAAACATTGTTCATGTTTTGTATCATTTAAATTTTTGTCATCATTTTTGGCACGAAATTGTAAAGTGATATATTTTTATTTAATTACTAAAAAAAACGGTTTTCACGAAGTAATATTGAATAATGTTTTTACAAAATTCACATAAATTAAAGTTGCTGTTATAACCACAAAATTATCAGTTTCTAAAACAATTTTCTTGTTTTTAGCACGAAATTGAAAAGTGATATATATTTTATTTAATTATTACAGAAAACGGTTTTCACGAAATAATAGTGAATGGTGGTTTTCAAAATTTATCAGAAATTGGAGTGGCTGTGAAAATTAGTTTAATAATCTGACACAAATTTACCCACCTGTTAGGGATAATATGATGGGGAGCGATTTATAATAAAGGAAAATAACTGAAATTGTTTTCAACTGAGATGTACTAATACATTTATTTAGTATTTGTATTTAGTTATAGTTGGCTTGCTTTTAATTGAAGTCATTTTTTACTACGTATGAGTAATCCTTGTGGAATTGGTTTCTGGTTTAAATCAACGACTCTCTAAAATGTTAGTACAATTTTCATCATATTTCTTGCGATAATCGTAAATTGCACATGGTACTTAACTATTTTCACAGCGTCTGAGGCTATTCGTGTACTGCTCCAACCCATTTAATAATTTTCGTGAACTTTTGTTCAATATGTGCAATCAATTGTATTTTTTCCGGTAAACTGCAAAATGTAATCGTGAAGTGGTTGACTATTTTTGCATAATAGCAGATCGGTTGTCGTATTATCCTCTACAAAACTCCTAATTGACCTTGTTTGGATTTACTAACTAAAACGACACGGACTCAGCTACCGCAAGGGTGATCCCTTTCCATCAATGTTTTATTTTAGGTACCTATTTTTACAGCCCCGATCAAGCGTTACTCTCTTTAAACGTACTTGTTAAACACAAACGATGAAATTTCGACGGCAAGGAAGCTCTTAAATTATAGCATGATATATTATTCTAACTTTTTTTTGTCACATCAAGAATTGTAACGCAACTCTTCATTGCGCGTGACACAGGAACAACGATGGTCTGTGACTACATATAAGATATGCTTCTACCGAACATCGGTCGGATTGTAGGTCCAGGTATCGAATGTCGGAAAGAGGTCTCCTTTAGCTTGTCAGTGTTTCCTTCCAGCCCATCGAGCAAACTCTCGCTCTTGATACGTTGGATTGTAGCTCTCAGATGAATGAACTGCCTTGTGAGATACTTGTCCTGATGCCGCATATCAGCCTGTTAAGACACAGAGGAGTGTAGATTAGTCTCACGAGCCTACAGTTAAGCGAACACGACCACGAATCCAGTGGCTCTTCTGGCGGAACTCACCCGGTTTCTGTAGCATCAGGCAACCGGGACTGTTGCTTCCCCCCCCCCCTCCCCTGGATGGGGTGATACTGGCCCTTGGCAGGTTCCCCCAACATGTACAGTTCAGCACTTGCCATTAGTATTCCCTGGTAGGAAGAGGCACCGGAATATCAAAGTGTCATGCCCAAGAATACAGTACAACTATGTGATCGGGCCTGCAACACGGACCTTTCCATCCCCGGCTTCCCTGCTTGGGTTATGCTCAGTGGATTCATACAGAAGCTGCAATAGCTCAAAAAAATTGTTGCTGAGCGAAACAATTTGTGCATTGCGTTTAAAAAAAATTGTTTGGGCGAACTTCCGAAATGCATTCTTAAAGTTTGCAATCTTTCGATTTTCCATCGCGCTTCTGCTCGGTAATTACGCGAACTTTCCCTTTTTGTTGAAACAGTAGGCACTTCGATGTTTCTCTTTATTCAGGTGATGTGACACCTCTCTCGATATTAGCTTATTTTTGTCATATACTAATTACGAAAAACCATCGATGTGATCAGGCCTGGAACCCGGACCTTTCCATCTCCGACATCCTTGCTTGGGCTATGCTCAGTATATTCATACAGAAGCTGCTATAGCTCAAAAGAATTGTTCTTCAGCGAAACAATTTGTATACTGTCGTTTAAAAAAAAAAAATTGGGCGAACTTCCGAAATGCATTCTTAAAGTTTGGAGTCTTTCGATTTTCCATTGCGCTTCTGCTCGGTATTTGCGCGAACTTTTTTTTTTGTTGTTGAAACAGTAGACACCTCGATATTTCTCTTTATTCCGGTGAAGTGACACCTCTCTCGATATTAGCTTGTTTTCGTCAAAAACTAATTACGAAGAAGCATCAGATGTCATTTTCAATTTTTCTTACATTGTACCGTAATAATGGACATCCAAGTTATACTATCTATACTCATCTCAGCTCTAGCCCCATTTTAAGTGCGAAATTTCCCAAATCCAGTACGTTTTCATGCCGCACTTACCACTAACTAGACGAAGTGAGATTGAGCGACACATTGTTGAACTGAAGGTCAATTAGTTTTGAGTACACAAGATACTTTGTTGATAGTGTGTTTTATTAAGGAGGTATTCCGAAAGCATTTAATTAGCTCTGTTTGATTCGCTAAAAGGATCAAGTGATTACGTTACTAAGCTTGTCAGCTCTTGTGATGAATCATATTGTGTCTAACCTGTATTTCTATAAATAGGATGTTATGGCTGCGAATAACATAACTCTGTTGTTAATTTACACAATTGGAGTCTGCCGATATTGCACTATTGTTCTTTCTGTTTCTACAGACAGAGAGTATTGTGCATTATTATTGACCAATGATAGTGTTCTTCGCCAAAAAAAAAATAAAATGAAATTAAAAAAAAAGACAGTATGACGACTTGTCTTTTATTTTATCTCTATATTTAAAATATTTTAAAATTTATTTTGTTCCTCTTTGTGCACTTTGTATTTGTTTCGTTGACTTTTTGATCATGTAATTCGTCGCGGGTATTGGTATTACATTATCATCCGTGCAGTTCCATCTTTTTCTAGGCAGGTGGAGACTTTTAAAACAGAAATTATTAGACCATATGGCGAGGAGATAGATTCTAGATCTTTATATGGTGAAGATCTATGTTATAGCCTTATCTGTGACTATTATTATCCGAAGCATGTCACGCGTCGAAAACGATGAAGACTTTTGCGACATTGTTATCAAAAATGCAGAAACATAAACAGCCCCTCGAAGGAAAAATAGAAATGTTACAGGTTTCGACCTGTCCGCTGCAAGAATACACGAGTTCTCGCTAAAAAGTCTCTTAGTTCGAGAATATTTAGTTATCTCAAAGAAATGCCGCAGTAATTTTTTGCTTGACGTTCCGAAATCCGCTAAACTGAATATATTTCCAACACAATTTTCGGTATCTTTTGACATTTTTTTTTACCTACCAATTCCTTTCGTATCCACAAAATTGCTGCTTCTAGACGGGCCTCTCTTTCCTCGCTTGTCCCTTCGGAATCAATAACAGGGACAGAATCCGCTTTGGGGATTTCTATCTCTACTTCATTCGCCGATCCCGATTTCAAAATATTCCATGTGCACACTTTCATATACGGAAAAGAATGGCGTTTAGCAAGCTGAAGCCGTTCATCATCCATCTCTGAGTATTTCACCAAAAAAGTGTCCTCCGCTAAAAATCGATGAATTTCGAAATTTTGTCGTAGAGAACTGTGTATTTTGCGTAGAGTTGTCAAGTAAAGAGAAAGATTAAGTCCATAAGAGGCTTTGAGCGAGCACGTTCTTCACGCCGCTATTGTTTATAGCCAAGACACTGGTGGTTTATATTTGCATATGGAAAGCAAAACATACCAGGCGAGAGGTACTTTGCTTGACATCTGTCGCCAGATTTTAATCTTTCCATTACCCAAAAAGGAGGCGATAGTGTTCATGGACGGTCTGAATTACGAATAAATACAACACGAAAAAACCTGAGGAAGAAATAGAATAAGTTACTCGTAGATAATCAGTCAAAACTCACAGAAGCAGAATTCACATGCTTTGAAAATAATTTGTTTTTAACAGTGAAGTACAATACAATGTAGTTACTTCGTATCACCTGTCTTACACAGATTGAAAACTTGAAAACGAGGGCAGTTTTGAACTGCTTTCCATATAGGCCTGATAAACTCGTGCATTTGTTGATTTTGGGAGGCCCATTGAATTTTCCATTTCTTTATTGATAAAGTTCCAGCAGAAAAAAATATCCTCCGAAATTCGATCTGAATGAAAAGCAGCACTCCGCTCATTCACATCAAAATTCAGTCGAGCCTTGTTAAGTTGGCAGATTTGATTCATAGCGTTATGAAAATGCTCCCATTCTACTTCACATGTAGAGTAGAACTACTTGAGTTTTATTATTTTTTTTTTAGTCTCCTGGGGTACATTCAAGTTCTTGAATGAACGCTGTCCTCTTAAGTTTGTTGTTGATTTTTGTTTGTTTGAGTGTTTTGGTTGGGTGTTTTTGTTACGTTGGTTTGTTTATTTGTTGTAAGTTTTGCTGCTTGAAACTTTTTCTTGTTACCCAGTCTACTCTGTCCACGGATGCCCCCCGACGTTCTCTCACCTAGCGGCCGCTGAGCCATCTCTTTCTCTTGTGACGGTTTGCCCTCTGTCGATATTTTATTCAGGTTTGCACCTTAGCCAATCTAATATTCGCCCTCTTTTCTCTCTTTCTCTCGCACTTATGCGCTCTCTCTCTTTCTGGCACTCTTTCTCTTTCTTTCACTTCTGAGAGATTCCTCCTGTCACGTCATAAAAATGACAAAAATAATACAATCATCACTCAGTCTCTTAACTAAAGTGATTAATTTAATGGTTGCCGTAGTGATCAAAATTGAAAAAATTTATAGCCACTTTAAGAACCCAATAATTATGGTAACCACGAAATTATGTCGTCTTAAAATAGCAGGAACCAAAACGGTAATTAGCATATAATACTGTGTAAGAAAACACGGCTTCTGTTCTTCGCTCGGCCATGGTGCTTTCGTTGTTGTGTACATATCAGCTAATATGCCATAGCGTCTAAATTTTCTTTCCAAAAACTACAAAAATGAATGGTTCGGTTGATTATACCAACGCAAACAAGACTACCGATATTCGTCGAGTCTCAACTTTTGGCCTTACGACTTTCCTTATCACAGCAATTTTTCTTCTACCGGTTGGTGTTATTGGGAACCTAATGGTCATTGTAGTCGTAAGAAAGAGGCGATATCTTCAAACCAAGACGAACTTCTTACTTGCAAATTTGGCGGCGTGTGACTTGGTGGCAAATATTCTTGGTTACACATGGGGAGTAGCGTCCGCTTTTCCCATTCCAAACATGACCCTGGGTGTTATAATTTGCAAGATTAACTCAATTTATCCTGCTGCATCTGGGTGTTCTGCCTTTATACTGACTATTATCGCTCTGGAACGCTATAGCGCTATCGTGAAACCACTGAACACTCGCTTCAAGTTAAAAAAACGGACCCTTCGCTATTTTATCTTGGCTATTTGGATTTTTGTCCTAGCTGCTGTGATTCCTTTAGTGTACTTCGCTGACTACAATGTTGGTTCGACTTACCGCTGTGGTAGAACTTGGGGTACAACTGCCAAAGCCACATTCTGGACAACTGGGTTTATAATTTTTGTTGTGGTCCCTCTTATAGTTATGTTGTTCTGTTATGTTCAAATAATACGCGCGCTGTATTTCGGGACAAGGATTGTGCCGATGAATATCCCAGCTGAAGTTGATGCAAGGGAAAAGAAACGAGTAATACAACTATCCATTATAGTGACTTTCGTGTTCATTGTTACCTACTTACCGTTTGCAATTGTTAAAGAACTTGAGATGCGTATTTCTTTATCGAATAGAGTGAGAGCTTTTTCACTCCTATCTGTACTTCTCTCTTCTATCTTAAATCCATTTATTTATGCTTTCCAAAGCTCTAACTACCGCCGGGCCTTTAAAGAGATTATATGTTTAATACAGAGATAGTTGCCTGAAATTTCAAAGACTCAGTGAAATGTTATTTACTAAAATTTCCAAAATTTATCTAGATCTTTGTATAAGTATTAAGACAAAAATATTAATGAAATTATGGATGAAATACAAGATAATTAAAAGCCATACGCTTAAGTAAGTATACCTCTTCACATGCAAAAAATGAAAAAAAAAATTGAAGGGAAAAACCGATTTCAATTATTTTAATAATTTTTTTATGGTTTATTATTTTAGTGAATCTAGTATGTTTTACAAATTTTATTCGACTGTGGTTAGATAGGTAATAAACCCGTTCAGAACTCTAAAGCCAATATCTTCATGTCGTGACTCGGCAACAAGCAACATGTTGCCCACTTCCTACTCGCGTAATATTGTTAAGTGCAAAGAAAGAAGAAGAATATTGGCACCATACAAGGACGTCAAGAATATCTACTGAGCAGTTATTTATTTCCAAAGTCAAGTAAAGTAAAAAAATAAAAAGGAAATCGATAAATTATCGTGAAATCGTCTGTCTCACGATTGAAGGTCATTTCCGATTGCGACGACAGTCATACTATGACGTTTTTGTGGGGCGATGTACGTTTGATAGTGAGTCTATATCGTCAGAAAAACTTACGTACTTTGATTTATTATTATAACCACAACGAGCGACTAGAATGATCACCACTCGACGACGATTGTTTTGCTATTGCTTCAGTTAATCCTCGGTGCTGACAACTAGAATGTTGGGCTCATTCTGACACAGTGGGGAATAAAGTTAGATGTTTCAGGTGGATTTTGAAGACTGCAGAATGTGACGCTAACTTCAAAGGTGGCTAAGTGTGGGGGCAGCCACTTAATCAAGACCTAAAAATAAGAAAAAGAACAAAAACAAAAGGGTTCATGCATGGCCAAGTTTCTTTTCGTAACCAATACACATTATCACAGCCGAGTTAACCTCCCTAAAACGGACTTCAAAGGTTCATAGCGAAGTTCCTGTATTGAAGAGATGTTCATGTTATAGAGGTCACGACCACGATAACCTCACGCCGTCGATTTTTCAGTAATCATATATATATTTTTTTTTTTTTTGCGTACAGGATTTATGCTGTATTTGTATTGGCTCTCTGTCTATCTCATATTGTTATTGTTATTATTATTATTGTTATTGTTATTATTATTATTATTATTATTATTATTATTATTGATTTTCTCTATGTTTCCGTGCGTCTGTTCATCCATCAAATATCTTTCGTGCAACTGGTCTAAATGCATCACGGGATCGAATATTTCCCATTTAAAGATGGGAAATATCCGGTGATATTCCCAAATTTTCAAATTTTCCTTCACTACGATAAAAGTCTTCGTTCAAAATTTGATTCAAGATGAGAGAGTGGTTTGCTTTTGCCACAGAAGAAAGGACGTATTTGTTTGTTCATGAATTCGTACCATAAATTCAAAACGGACGTGTGAGCATCCCACGCTAGCTTGAAGGTTGATAAACACAGCATCGTCTATTTTGCAAGAAAATATTTACCTATATTTGTCCTTGAACATTATCTGTTTCATAAAGCACACGGTTTTTTGCTCGAGCTTCGCACTTGGTTCGGAACAGTTAATGGCCGCGGACAAAATTCCGAGCATACCTTTGGACCAAAAGGAGGCTCAATTAGATCACAGATGACGCCAAAATGTGGTTAGAACAAAAAAGAGGCACACGAGGCGCAGCAGAATGTCGCTGATGATCTATTACTGTACAGACCCACGGCAACTTTGAATCAATTTGTTTATATGATTAAAACGCAAAATGTTGTTAATGGTGACGTCACCCCTTCGCCTGTCCTCCAATAGACCATAAGCAAGACCCAATCAAGATGCTTTTATAACTCAGCTTATCTTATGAAATCAACCTAATTATCTGACTAAACAGGGATTCATGGCTTCTGCAGGATTGTAGTATTAAAGGCGTTCAACCATGCGACCAAACCCCACCCCCCCTCCACTCTGCCAACGAAATGTTGACATTTTAAAATTTTTGCGTTCAGTGGAAAATGCCCTTGCATCGCTTCGCTGGTACAGGCTTCTAGCTTCGCATTTCGTGCCTCGCACGCCTCGAAGGTGCGCTTCTTCGACCGCGCGTGCCGCAAATAGAAGGGTTCGCTTGTCAACTGCTATCGCAGATAGGGTTTCACCAGACTCGCAACATGATCGCATGCATCCACGGTCAGTCAACGCGATTTAACAGGACAGACAATCATATTTAACTCCACTGCTCCCTATGCAAACTAACGATTTGCCTCGATCAGAACAGAATCAGGGCCGTCTCAATTTAAATCTTTCGCCCCCGAGCCTTTTTTGGACTAAGAAAACCCCCTTTTCTGATAGGTAAATATAAGTTTAAACTTTGACAATTCCCCGTCAAAGCACAGCTGCGTGCAAAGAATCCAGCGGCAAATTTGCTGTATTACAATCATGTCTAATCTGTACTTAATGTGAAACGTTTCCGGACCGGTAGTGAAACTTTAGAGTTTTTTCCTTGGTGAAAATCGCTTTGTTATTGTTATTTTAAGTATAAGCCTCACTCAGCCGAAATGTTTCGCTGTTTTCTTAAGCTACCTGAAATTATTGACTGAGTATACGATATCTGTTCACCAGAAATTCCGTAGATTCAATCGACTTCTGCTGTGTTTGTATGAAAAAAAAATCAGTGTACTCAATAATTGATATGAGGCCAGAAATCTCTTAGCGATCATTTGCCTTTCAAAACATCCTAATCACATAATCCCAGGCCATGAAAATATAGGTAATTCAGTGTTCTTACTTAGATTTTTGAGCTAACAGGGAAAGTTACACCTACACCTTTTTAAGATGCTTTGAGCTCCTTAAATTGGAATGAAACAAAATGTAGCAGCGCGCGATTAACAAATAGAGGTAATATAGGGAATTGCGTCTCGTGAGTATTTTCCCAACATGCTAATAGGCCAAAATACCTTGGTTTTCGGCGAAAACGCCAATTCAAACGTTCAGATGCGTTGAATTTTGTCGTGTTTGCATTACAGTTGTGCTCACCGCGATTCTGAAAGGAAAAAAACCCAGACGGTGTTAACTGAATTAGGTCAGAATCTCTTGTTACCACCTGGCCCCATTTCCCCTCTTCCACCCCTCCC